AGAACATTGTTTTCATTGTTTTTTGTTGTTCCTTTAGTCCTAGATAAGGGTCTGTCTGTTCAAACCAAATTCATGAGAGTTACACCTTTAAAGATGTTTTATGTACTAAACTATACTGTGAGTTTCAGTGACTACACTGTAACATTCACTCATTTTTTTTCCACAGGACCTAGATATTGATCCAAAAGATGCAAATAAAGGGTCTCCTGAGGAAACCGGCAGCTACTTAGTATCAAAGGAGCTGCCCAAGCACTGCCTCTACACAAGACTCAGTTCCCTGCAAAAATTAAAGGTGATTCCTTTTCCTGTTAATAATTACTAATAAAAATGCCTGAAGCTGAAAATGCTTTGGTATAGGCCATAAATATACAAAATATGGATATTGAAATAGAAAGCCAACCTATGGTGGGTCTTCTTAGTGACCATTTTCATACTACACAGTGATGTGGAAGATCACAAACACTTTCGTTTGTAAATAGTTCAGTTCACAGAAGTGTTAGGCAAAATCTTTTGTTTGATTTGATCACCAAACTCTGCCTTGGGTGACAAACACAACTGCAGCCATCCTAGCTGCACAAACATGAACACAAACATGGCTATCTTTCCCAGAATTGTGGAACAAATTAAACTCATAAATGGAGGTCCTCTATATTCTATCCCTGATAGAGGCCTGAGGACATTTTTGTGAAAATCTATGTGCTTACCCTCCATACAATTGAGAGGTTAGTAGCATAGAGCATATTCTACTTCTAAATACCTTAGCATTTTGAAATAATGACTTTCATGTTCCGTGACTTTCTGTAAAGCATACAAATTTGTATTGATCTTTTTAGTCTCTTTCATTTCTACTTGACTTGCAAATGAGAAGCTAGCTTTACATGGTTAAGCTTTCTAATCAAAGTATGTCCTTGCAAAAATTGAGTGTTTAATTTATTCTTAGTTGAATATCGTAGAATGTCCCAAGCATAACTTGGGGAATGGAATGGGCACTTGACAGTTACATGGAGACAGTGGGCGTATACCAACCATTACCTATTCATACTCAGTCTACTTAAAGTCATCTCTTGAAGATTTAGCCTGTTACCTGAGTGAGTTTTATTTTTCTCTTATGATTCTGAATTATTCATATTTTTAAATAGCTTACATTTTTTAACACAGGTATAAAGCCAGATTGTTTTTTATCAGTATGTTTGTATGATGTAATGATTACATTTCTCTTTGGGAACTGGTACATGTATATCATTTTTAAAGGATAATTCTGGGGTTTGATCCCTAGCATGCCATGTTGGCCCTGCCCCCAGGAAACACTAGGTGTGGTGGTACATGCCTGTAATCCCACACTTGGGAGGTTGAAAACAAGAGGATCACTATGAGTCTGATCTGTGTAGTAAGACCCTGTAGACCCTGTACTAAATACATTTTTAAAAAAAATTATAATTCCCATTTCCAGTAATAGCACAAGATAAGGTACCAGAAATCTGATATAAGATGTATGTAATTGCTGGTGAGATGGCTCAGTGGTCTAAAGCACCTACTTAGAACAAGCTTAGCTAGCAAAGCACAGGGACCGCGGTTCAATCCCCCAGCACCACATGCCAGCCAGTCCCACCCCCTGGTGGGCTGAGCTGGCCACACACACACACACACACACACACACACACACACACCCCAATAAAATTTAAAAAAAAAAGATGTATTGACAAGTCACTAAAGTAGGAACTGGAATTCTACTAAACTCCTAAGCATTGAATGAAGAAAAGGAAGCTAGGGGGCCTGGCCCTAGCTCAGGCCTTTAAGTGGCTGCTTCCACAAAGCTGTCAGCCTCAGGTTGCTGGAGTTCGAACCTCACACCTCTCCCGCTGGCCAAAAGTGCCCTGAAGGCATTCGAGGAACCAAAAAAAAAAAAAAGAAAAGGAAGCTAATTATAACTGGCTGTTCCCCATTTAGGGGAGATGGAGAAGGATTTGGAACCTAGGAAAAGGGGCTGAGTAGGTTTCTGTTATTGTGTGTGGGAGTGAAATCTTAAGACTGATAAGAGGGGGCCTGGCCCTAGCTCAGTTCTTTAAGTGGCTGCTTCCACAAAGCTTTCAGCCTCAGGTTGCTGTAGTTCAATCCCCACAACACTCCAGCCAGCCAAAAGTGCCCTGAAGGCATTCGAGGAGAAAAAAAAAGACTGATAAGTTTTCACAGTTGATAAAAATGAACCTCCTTTCATTTGCTTTTCAGGAACATCTGATCTTCACAGTGTGTTTATCATACCAGTACTCAGGACTGGAGGACACTGTGGAGGAGAAACAAGAAGTGAATGTTGGGAAGCCTCTCATTGCTAAGTTAGACATGCACCGAAGCCTGGGCAGGAAGACTTGCTATCAGACATGCCTGATGCCTGACGGGCCTTACCACAGCTGCACGCCGGCCTCTGGAGGAACGCGGCATTACCCCTCATCTCAGGACTCATTCCATGGTGTCTACCATTCACATCTTGCTAATTCAGAAAGCATTATGCCATCAGACAGATGTCATTGCAGCCGGACTCCTAATGCATTTATTTCAAGCTATCACGCCCACCATTACTCCTGTCGGGTTGGTAGGAGTAACGTGCCAGTGGAGACAACTGATGAAATGCCATTCAGTGTCTCTGACGGGCTCAGGATTTCTGAAAAGTGACCTTGGTTTTGAAAGTTCTCATAATTACTAGATGCTTCACATGAGATAGTCCTCATATAAAGTGAGGCATTGTGAAAAGGCCAGTGCATACATATGGAGAGAAAGCCGGTAAGCACTGCTTCATAAGCTCAAGATTTTGAGATGATGGAGTACATTATTTAACCACAGACTTCCTCGTGCTTTTTTTTCTCTCTTCTTAGACTTGTAAATTGAGTGATTTGTTCTGTGAGAATGAAACATAGATGTATGTGTGTGTGTGTGTGTGTGTGTGTGTGTGTGTGTGTGTGTATATGTACATAAGAAAAATATTTTTATTTTGGCTACTCTGAAGTGAGAAGAGTCGGAATGGCATTACTGTAGAATAAATCATTGAACTTTTAGCACCAGAAGAAATCCTGTTGACCAAGCCTAACTTGGTTTTGTTGAGAAAAATAGATTGAGCCTTCTTGTCTAAGTTAAAGGTAGGGCTGGCCTGATCGCTCAGTAGACGAAAGCCCCTGCTTAGGCGGAGCGCAACAGCTGGGGTTCAATTCCTGGCATGCTGTGCTGGCCCCACCCCCGGGGCTCCCTGAGACAGCACTTGAGACTGGGCACTGGGCACGCACCTGGAATCCCAGCACTTGGAAGGCTGAAAACAGGAGAATCACTACAAGTCTGATCTACGTAGTGAAACCCTGTAGACCCTGTAGGTAGACCCTGTCCTAAATACAGGGGAAAAAAAGTTAAAGCTGGCACAGAACTGAGACCTTTCAAATTCTATTCCAGCGATTCTTCCACTACATACTTACTTCCTAATGGATGCTGGACATTATTGTTGAAAGGAGAGAAAAAAAGGAAGGTGAAAAGGAGGAAGAAGGAGGGAAACGTGTCTGTAGATTATCTGAGTAATGTGTAGGACTTGATTCAGGATTATAAGACTTTGGTGCAAGTATCAGCTAAGAGGTTTGTGTATAAATCTTATCGAGAAAAGGCTTAAATTTCTGCTAAGTTCAGGAAGCCACATGAGAAGTGATGGAATATTTGTCTGTGTTAAAGCTAGAGTGCAGAGGTTAACTGAGATGCAACTGGATAGTTTGGGTAGCTGCTTATTGAATCTCCCAGACATTGAAGGTGTCTTCCTTGGAAATGTGTGTTTCCTTCTTGAACTTTACAGGTCTTGAGAGAGAAAATTCTTATCACTTGTGGTTCTAACTAAAACAGACTTAAGGGGCCGGGGAGATGGCTCAGTGGAATAAGTGCTTCCCTGGCAAGCGCAAGGGTCTGAGTTCAGTCCCTGGTTGCGCCAAAAAAAAAAAAAAAACAAAAAAGATTAAACTAAAACAGATTAAAAGACAAGTGGCAATAGAAAGGGAAATGAGTGAATTATTGTTTTTAAGTGGATCATAGCCTTATCAATTTTGGTCCCTCCTAAAAGCAGGTTTAAAGGGCAACTGGCAGGCTTGGCCTGGGAGCACTTCCTGTAGTCCCCAGCCTGTAGCAGTCTAAGGTAGGAAGATTGCAAATTTGAGCCCAGTGCAGGCAACTTACTGAGACCCTGCCTCCAAATAAAAAGTGGTTCAGTACAAAGTCCCTGGGTTCAAGCCCAAACAGGTAGGAGTAGAAAGGCCATATAAACGTAGGAAGTTAGTAATTTTTAAAGCCCTGAAGGAAAATCCCAGGCCTGGATGACTCTACCACTTAATTTTATCAAACATTAAAATGAGTACCAGGCCGGGGAGATAGCTCGGTAGAATAAGTGCTTGCCTGGCAAGTGCAAGGGCCTGAGTTCAATCCCCAGTTCCACAAAAAAAATAAATAAATAAATGAGTCCTAACTCTTAGCAAATTCTCTCCAAAAGAAGGTAGTATATTTTCTAATTAATCCTGTAAGGTCACTGTTACCCTGACCCCAAAACTAGACAAGAACGCTACACATGGTGATACACAACTGTAATTCTAGAATTGGGAGCAGATGCAGAAGATTGGGCATTTGAGGCCAGCCTGATCTACGTGGTGAGTTCAAGGCAAACCTGGACTACTCAGAGGGGTGAGGAGTCAGAGGAAAACTATAAAACCAGTATCCTGTGTGAATGGAAAACTCATGAATAAAATACAAAAAGCTGAATCCAGCAACATGGGAAGAGGATTATATACCATGATCAAGTGGAATTCGTCCCAGAGATTAAGGATAGGTTTAGCATCCAGAAATAATTCAAACTGATACAGGTCTCTAAAGAAAAGACTGAGTTGGGCCTCAGTAAAATTCACAATGTTCAACTATACTGCCTGGGGAGATAGCTCAGTAGAACAAGCACTTGCCATGCAAGTGCAGGGTCCTGAATTCAATCCCCGGGACCACAAAAATAAATTAAGTCACAAATAATGAGTGAATATGGAATCTTTGCTTCTAGGGGAAAGGGGTGTGCGCACCTGCATTTGTGCATAAGTGTGTGTGTGTGTGTGTGTGTGAGAGAGAGAGACAGATGACCTTGAATGCTAGTGACAACCTGGCAGATTCTGGTGTTTTCTTTATTTTATACATGTGAAAATGAGGTTTACAAGTGTTCATTGGTGTCTGAGGCTGAAATTCAGACTGTGTCCAACTTGCCCCAGAGCGACATGCCTCACACTGCGCTGCTGCCTTCTCTCCCCCGTCCTCTCCCGCCTGTCCCCTCAGTGAGAACCAATATGAGAAGCACTGCTGTGTTAGACCTCAGTTTGGAATGTGTACTGGGTGATTTTTTCACTTGTCTATACCTGTCCACAGATGACTACAGAAGTTCCCACGAGTCTTGATGGGGGAAGGAAGGTAATAAATTTCAGTAAGTTGGTAAGTTGATATTTACATAATAAATAGTGTAGATACAACTTTACCACATGAATAATGTACAAAACCCCCAAAATAGATGCAGAAAAAGCACTTGATGAAATCCAACTTAATAAAATCTTTTCATCTTTAACATAATTAGTAATAAAAGGGGACCTTCTGTAACATACTGCAGCATCCACAAAAACTACACCTACCATCCTAATGGGGATGGACTGAATGCTGAATATTTTCCTTTTTAAGATCAGGAACAACTGGTTCCGCCAAGGGAAAAAAAAAAAAAAAAATCAGGGAAAAGACTAAAAACTATAAAACTGGGGGCGGGGAGGCAGGTAAAGAGAGGTGGACAGGAGTGCAGATGATCAGAGTGTTATATACGGGTATAAATCTGCCAAATGAAATCTGTTAATGTGTATAAGCAATAAAAGGCAAGTAGGAAAAAAAATAAAGTCAGCAACCAATTTAAAAAAAAAAAAAAAAGGCAAGTGGGAAAAATATTCACCCTAACCACTTCTGTTTGGCTTTGCATTTGAGGTTTTAGCCAGGACTTAAAACATAAAGGCATCTGTATTGGCTGTGTAAAACTACAAGGTGAGCATGTCTCTCGGATATGACACCAACAGCACAAGCAACAAGGAAAACATCACGAGGGGCTTGATCCGATTGAACTCAAAGGTACCATTAAGAAAATGAAAAGGCACGCCCTAGCATGACATGATTTTGAAAAATTCTCTTATCTGCTAAGACACTGGGCAAGAACTCAGGGTAATAAAAAGACTTCTCTGTGTGCACTTGATTGTGGCTGCCATAGATCAGCTCCACTTGCTGGTGTCTGTGAGGGCAAAAACGCTCTGGTCTGTGCCCAGCCCCCACGGTGGTGTGCAGTTGCAGCATAGCCAGTGCTCCCTGCAGTTCGATGTTTGATGTGAGCAGCCACATGTGGCTGGCATCTGCCCTAGTGGCCTGTGTTGCTGCAGAGAACTGGAAGGCAATACAAGGAAACTTGTCACCTTTCACATTGCCCGGGGTCTTATTTGCATTGTTAAAGGATCCAAGCATGTATTGTAATTTTTTTTTTTTTTTTTGTAGAACTGGGGATTGAACTCAGGGCCCTTGCACTTGCCAGGCAAGCACTTATTCTACTGAGCTGTCTCCCCGGCCCCTGTACTTATTTTTTTTTTAATGGTACACTTTGTCAGCCATGTTTTTAACTCATTTGCTTTGTAATACTGAGATAGAGTTGGATGTTAGGAAAACTAACTTGTTGATACTGATTAAAATGTGAGGGGAAAAAAAGCATGTGAGATTAAAATAGCAAAAGTTTAAGTAATTGTGGCTGCTGGGATGGCTCAGTGGTCTGGGGCACCTGCTTGGAGCGGGCTTGGCGGGGCCTAGGGACCGTGGTTCAATCCCCCAGCACCACATGCCAGCCAGCGTGCGCGCACACACACACACACAAACGCACATAAATAAATAAAATTTAAAAAAAAAAGTTTAAGAAATTAAAGGTTCACCTAAATCCAGAACAACTATTTGATGCTGGGGAAAGGATGTTCTCTGGAAGGTAAATAAAAATATTTATAAAGTAGCGATTATAAATTACATGTTTTTAATAAAAACACTCTTGAGGTATCACACATTGAACTGGTACTGATTCAGTGATGAACAAGTGAGTGGGCAAACTACAAAAGAACAGGAGTCTGAAGTCTGATTTCTACTTTATGGTTGTTATAAGTGTTAAATTCTGTTATTTGATCATACCCTGGCATTAGTATCATGCAGTCAGTACTTTTAACTCTCAACTGATGCCAGGTGCTCAACATTTACACGTCCTTGCTGCATTCCGTCCTGTTTCTCATACTGACACTGATGTTTGAATTCAGCCTGAGTCCCTGGAGATGTAGCTCAGTGTGGTTTGTGTGCATAGCTCAGAGCCCTGGGGCCAATCTTCAATATTTAAAAAAAAAAAAATCATAGTTGAGCATTGTGAATTTTATTGAGGCCCAACTCAGTCTTTTCTTTAGAGACCTGTGCACGCTGAGGATCTGCCTCAGTGCTGAGCCACACCGCCTGCCCTGGGATTTTGGTTTTCTGTTTGTTAGTATCTTCAGGGTTGTTTTTGTTGTTTTTACATTTTGGCCCCTTTGTATGCCATGTCATATTAATAAAATGTTAAACATTAATAAAATGTTAAAACATGATATGAGGACCCAGACATGAGGACATGGAATAGATGGGCTAATCATCTTTCTCTGTTTCATAAATGGAAGTACTTCAGCATTAGACACTTTTTTTTTTTTTTTTTTTTGTGGTAGCGGGGATTGAACTCAGGACCTTGTGCTTGCCAGGCAAGCACTTATTCTACTGAGCTATCTCCCTGGCCTCCGATACATTTGACTTCAGAGAGAACTGAGACCACTCAAGGCTTCATAGTTATCAACTGGGTGGCCTGCAACATATCTAGGCTTGTAGCACTGTGATGGCACAACAGCTGAGGGCTCTAGGACTTCACAGAGCAGGCAGTACCAAGGCCAGCGCTATGGAGCAGGCTTGGCGGTGCACACCTACAGTCCTACCACTTGGGAGGCGGACACGAGACTGCCACAGGTCAAGGTCAGCCTGGACTCCATAGCAAGACAATCTCAAAAAGAAAAAGATCATCCCTATAAACCACCAACTTTCTGAAAAGGATCCCCATTGTTCTAATCTGGTACCCTCAAAAATTGTATTTATTAACATACTTC